CCACCTCCATTTCCTCCTGCATATTTGTTGCGTGATAGGTTCTTTCTTCGTTGGTTCGTTCCCAGAGCTCCTTGTTGCTTATTCTTTCTGGCAATCCATCTGATCTTCAGTAGCGAGCCAGCGTAGGTGGCAGTTGTTGATGAATTTCTGTAGTTTATTGGAAATGCCTTTCGTAGCGCGCCAAATTTCTGAACCATCACATAGAGGCACTGACTTGACTGAGGTTGGTGTTGAAAATCCGTATCTTGTTCCACATGCTGAGTGAGTGCAGAAGATCTCCACACTGGTTTCAGGCTAATGAACGCCTGTCTTGCTGTGTTTCCGATTCTGACTTTGACGTCCTCGTCCGTGCCGTCGCCTGTAGTTGAAACAGTGCTTCCTAGATAGGTGAAGGAGGTTACTTCCTTTAAGTTTCTCCCGTTGATGGTGATTGGAGTTTGTTGTTGTTGTTGTTGATGGTGGTGGTGCGGTATCTTCATCACTTCTGTCTTCTCTATATTCACCTGAAGTCCCGTCTTCGCTCTCTCTTCTGTTAACTTGTTAGTTTTTGCCTGTAGATCTTCAAGTTTATGTGACATCAGGCACAAGTCATAGGCAAATCCAAGTCTTCTAGGTTCTTTTCCGCAGTCCAGCCAGCGTATCCCCCTCTTCTCGCTGCCCACTGTTTGCTGCATGATCCAGTCGACCACAATCAAGAATATCATGGGGGATAGTAGGCAGCCTTGTTTCACTCCTGCCTTCACTTCAAAAGCATCACCAGGCGAAGTTAATCACGATTTAACTGAGTACTAATGCAAATAATGGGTACTGAGTACAACGCTGACATAATATATGATCTGGGACTGGACTTCCACTTGAAATGTTGAAATTATTTTATGTCAGACATGTTATGACTTACATAAGTATAATCTATATCTAATGTCAGAGTGAGAATCGTATATCTTGAAAATAAAACATGCTAATAAGCAATGATGAATTTAAAGCACAGATTCATATTTTCGTTCTTGTTACCTCGAATCAAAAGTAACATAAGGAGACACACAATTGCAGCGGAGAAAAAATTTCCTTTCAGATAAAATTCTTCTCTTGGCTGTACATTCGTGAATATATAATAAAAATGATAGGACATACCAGAGTAAGTCCTGAACTGCATCACAAAGGAAATAAACAAAATGCTTACAAAATAATAATAATGATTACATCATGTGTGGGCTACTCAGAGTAATTGGTAATTTACAATAAGCTATGGGAAAGAAAGAGGTTGTATAAAATTCTTTTGAACGCATAATGATGGTTTGAACTTTGAATGCCTAATGCTTCAGCTATACACAGATGTCTTAGCTTCACTCCTTTCGATTAACTTGGTCGCACTTTGTAAAGAACTTTGAAAGACTTTTCTAAAGGAGGCGAATGTCCAGAGTTTACTAAGTGTTATGTTGCAGAGTTGAGGATATATTTCCGCTCTCCCTGTCTCAGCCATGTTGGTTAGTGTTCGCGAGTGTGCTACGTAAGCTGGTGTGTGGTGTGAATGACGTACTTAGCTCCAAAGGAGCAAGTTAACTTCTATACATATACTGATGTGGCCAAATGCTCCAGTTTATCCCTTGACTGCTGACAAATGAGTTTCTAACAGAAGAATATGATTCTAAGGTTGGTAGCAAAAAGGTCCTGTCTATGGACCTCGGTAGTCTCTTTCTAAGTATGTCTGAAGCATTATCTCCCTTGAATTTGAGGTTCAGTAGTAAAATGTTTTTCGGAGTAGTACTTCAAAAAATTTTATGATTGCGGTTTGTAGCCATATGTAACACATTTTTTTGACTTATTTGGATGTCCAATAAATAAATATAGGTTTAACTGAAATATCTCCTAACAACAAGTGGATTTGTAGGCAAAACCTTTAGAGATTTTGTCGAAGGTTTAAAGTAATGAATAGCCAATCATCTAGCTTCATGAGTACACTGCAAAACCACTAATAGAAGTTAGTCCACAATTAAGACTAGATGAACCGAAATGAGTTACTGTCTCCAGAGATACTAAAGTGTATGAGTTTATAGTTTTATGTCATGACAACAAAAACTGTGGTCATTCTTTCAGAAGAGACATTCCTTATGGGTAGGGTACTTTGCCATTTTTAACCGAAGTGAAATGTTTCTGAAACGTACAAATTCATGAATATCAATAAAGTTACAAATAGCTAAGGCTATATTTCGCGTTAGAATGTCGAAACCAGGATCGGAAAGACAGCAACACAGGCGTTCAATAACCTGAAATGATCAGTGTGAAGGTCTACTGCACTCAGCATAAAGCGAGAACAACATCCGGATTTCCAACACCAATTCAGTCAAGTTAGTCAGTGCTTACATGTGATGGTTGAGAGACTTGGCGTGTCACGGAAAGCACTTCCAACAAACTACACACATTCATTAGCAACTGCCTACACTCACTTGATACTGAAGATGAGATGGCCAGAATAACATGAATAAGCAAGAAGGAACTCTGGCTGGCTGGCTGACAACGAACCGATGAAGAACCTACCACTCAAAAAATGTGTAGAAGTAGGTGGAGATGGACTGGATTGGGTATACACTGAGAAAGCCGATTGGGGACACCACTTGTCAGACCAGGCCGTCGAGTGGAGCTGAGATGGAAAAGGACGAGTTGGGCGTGGGAGTCGAGGGTGACATAGAGGAGACGATGTGAGGAAGAAATGAGAGGTTGTGGGCAGTCGTGGAGTGAGGTTGAATAGATTGCAGAGAAGAGAGTGGAATGGAGGCTTGTTACTGAATCCTTATGTTCGACTAGGAACCGAATGGACAACTAATAGTAATAATATATTTAGCAAATTGTAAAGATTTTTGTCTGATTAATCTGTTCCACTATCTTTTATTCTAGGCTCAATAAGTACCAATAATATGAAAGTAACTCTTAAGTTACTGTCATAAGATGGTGATATGCATAATCCAGTTAATATGTTTAAAACAGGAATAGCTTGGAAGGCAGGACTAATGCTGGTCAACATATTCGTTTGTTTTCTACAATTAGCTCATCATACGATGACCATAGAACTTAAGAAGACATTAAAGGTTTTTGTCAGATTTCCTTCAAGGTGAATGCAATGTTAAAGTGTTTCTGCATACACCAAATCACTTATCATTATTGTTCTGCTTAGGTTAGATTGATGCTGAACAAACTGAATCACAAATCCTTACTGAATAATATGCTTGTGTCATACTTTTTACTTCAATCTTAGTATTGTCATTCCAGCTTACATATTAAGCAAAACAGATAGATTTATGAATAAATGATACCCCATTATGAGGTAAATGGTGATGAAACGTTCAAGAAGAAACATAGAAGCCCAGAGGACACTAAACAATCATTACAAATGGCAGCTTGATAAAAATGAGTGAACTTATGTACTGGTTTTCCGCGACAAGATTCACTGTCCTAACACATATTCAGTTCAATGTTCTCCAATACTTCGGCGTATCCCAATGAAAGTTTCAAGGTATTTAATGACCCTAACGCTAAGAAAAAAAATTAAGGGCTAGGAAAAAAATTATTTTGCTAAACAGTATTCTTGATTTTCGTTCAAGGCAATGATAAAGAATATTCATACCTCATGAGGATAGTTTTCATAGTGTTGTGTTCTCTGAGCTAGATGGTTTAATCATCAAAGTTTCGTTGTCATCCTAGGCACAGTCATCAGCATAAACTTCAGAAAGAAGTAAGCGATGAGGTTTCCTCTGTAATTTGTTTAGTATCCTATCCTGATATCCTTGTGTATGATTGATTGTTTTAGTCGCTATCTCCAAGTTTATTTTGACTGGTTGTCTTGATGATCTGAAATTTGACTTTCTTACTGTTTCCTATTGGTTGGACAGAGTGGTCACCCTATCGTATCCGTCTGCATGAACATCAACTAAGAGTAAAGCGTCATGATAAACCTTCGCTTATATCAATGCATTTAGACAACTATAGACATGAATTCGACTGAGTAAAGTGTGAAACTTATAGACGAACAAAATACTAAGAATGCCAGAAAATATTTAGAAGCTTAACATTCAGGTCAGTCAGCAATCAACAGTCATACAGACATTGAGTCAATCTACCAACCAATAAGTAAAGACCAGAAGGTCAAATTCAAGGTCATCAGGAAAATCCATCCAATTAAATATGAAGACAATGAGGGGGTTGTGGAGATTTGGAAATATTTCAAGTTGTTATTCATCGAAGACTGATATTAGTTGGAGGAACAAAGGAAACCTGGGAGCACTGGACAGCTGTTTCGTCCTAGTATGGGACTCCTCAGCAGTGCGCACCCACGACCCCACCAGCAGGGATCGGACCCGCAACCTTCAGGTTCCGCGGCCAGCGCGTTACCATTGAGCTAGCCACTGGGTCAGAATCCATTGCTCCATATTTCCAACTTCTGTTAGCTCACGATATAGAGCGAACCGCCACCCAATGTCATCGTTGAGTATCTGTCCTCACGGCCATCAGGCTTCGACTCCACCGGTCACTAAATGACAAAAAAGTTGGAAACAACCAATCACGTATATATATAGTGTATACGGAGAACACTTGAGTAGCTTACCTACCAGGTTCATACTCAAGATTTTAGGTTGGGTTCTTATCAAATTCGATAACAAAACGCGAATCTACTCCGAAAATCACTAGAACCGACAACTGAAACAAGTTTAAAACTTAGGTTCGAGAATACTGACAGTAGTAAACAGATGGAAATCGAATCTATAAAATTATGTATGATCTTTCCTAGAGTTAAAGGAAATACAACCGGTAGGGACAATAAGACCTAGATTGTTGAACAAGTCTAGCTGACTTTTCGTACGATAAGGAAGATAAACAGTTATATTCAGCTCCGAAATTTTCATCCTGGATTTTTTTTACAACCATTTCAAAGAAGGCTATCACGCTTTTAAAAATGCATTGAATGAATCAATACCTAGTATTTTTTGTTCAATGACAATAACACTTACCGGTGCCGACTGATTCACTGTTTTCGGCAGTGGGATAGGTTTCTTCCTAAAAGATGGATTTGAATAAGTCCTGGTGGTATTTGAAGTATGATTCGATTTAGCAGGATTTATCAATGGTGTTTTCGGTTGTGTATCTGTAAACAGACCAGATGACAAGGGGATCCTCACTTCCACATGATTCATTGGAAATATTCCAACAGCACCAGTTTTTATAGATCTGCCCTTATACCATGATTCATCGACAACATCTTCCAGCATTATAATATCACCAACCTTCAGAAATAAACAGGTGACAAAGTTTGGTTATTTTTTGTAAACAGTAATCTACTGTAGAAAAAAATTTAAACAGTTTCCTAATCTTGGTGAAGATTTTAAAGTTGTTTACGTTGAAACTGACCTCATCATTCTTCTTATTTCAGCATCAAGAAATAGTAATTTGAATCTAAATTTCCCTTCTTGTTATAGAATTGACAAGGAGTACTAAAGGAACACTGATAATCTCAGTTTATGGGAAACGTGAATGGGACAGTCACCTGACATACTTCTACATTTGAATGCCTATGAGTTGCAAAAAAACTTAACTATATATCTTGCAAAGCACATGCAATCTACTTTTATCAATGATTCTTAGAAGAAGAAATAAACCTTCCAAGAAGAGTCTTGGTCAAAAATGTTTAAGTGATTTGTTCCATAAATGTAAAACTCAAGTTCAAATATTAGAGGGACTAACCTATTTATGCTTAGAAAAAGACGCCGTACATTCAACTGTCATCCAGCTATTGATATCCTTAAGAGAAAGGTTAAAAACTCTTGACGAAGAATTTTCTTCGAAACAAAGTTAGTAGTAGTGTTATTTGGTTGGAGGCAATCGGCAGGAAGCCCTGCTTGACCTAGGTTTCCTGCTTTTGGCACTTGTTAGCAAGGTGTATCTGAAACCTCAACGAAAACGATATCCCGCCTGAGATCCGAACCGGCGTCACCCAGTGTTGTAGTCAGCCACTTTACTACTGAGCTATTTGGGCTGCGATTGACCTCCGGTAGGACTGGCTTACTTGTATTGATTGGTCACTGGAATGCAACCAATTTCATGCTTTCTGCCAATTGCCTCCAGCCAACTAACATCTACCAATGTGCACCGCGATACTGAGCCTCTTAGCTTGGTTGCAACATTGCAAATATAATCGATAGGATTCGGTCTGTACTCAGGACTAAACAACATGAAATTGATTCCACTCTCGTGACCAATCAATACAAAGTTAGTAGTAGTCTTTACCAGAAGCCTGTGATAGTTTTACAGCCTCCAAAGATAAGGTTTACTACTGAAGCTTTCGCTGTTCTTGTATTCTGTTAACTTCTTATGTAATATCAAATCTTACTGGTTCCAATTCATTTTAAATAATGATCCGTTATTTAGGTATTTTATCAGATTGCTCACCTTACTGTCAAAAACTGATCACTTTTATAAACTTCTATCAAACTGTGATAGACATTCACTGGTCTCTAATAACTGATTATGCCCTACTGGTGACAACTTGTACTTCTTGTTACCGTATCCTCCAAAAAATATTACATTAAAGTACTGAATAGTTTTGCTTAAGAAAACTACATAGTTGCAATTATGCTGCTTGGATGATAAAATTTGCCAAGAAAGTCTCTTAGCTAAACTAATCTTGATTTTCTTTGTAGTTTTTAACGTATACTGAAGTACTTAGCAGAAGTAATTGCTTCACATAGCTAAATGAACAGTTCAGAAAACTCTCTGCCTGAATGCGCAGTATACTTATCAAGCTGTAGAGACCGTAATGTTGATACACAAATTTCTCGTCAAACTATGCAGTATAATAAGGAAGGTAAGTGTGAGTTTTGTATCAATAATGTTATCTGGACAGTTATACTCTTTATCTTCTAAAAAGATTTTCATGCAGAAAACAAAACGTTCGATTGAAATTCAGTTCGTATATGCTCTTCAAAAGCTCTTTTTTTGTGCAGAAGTTTCAGACATCAGAATATGATGTTACAACGGAAAGGCTACATATTGCCAACACTTTCGTTGAACAGTACTCTTGAAGCAAATGGCTGATGGTGTAGTGGAGAATCTAGTCACTGGGAGTCAAATCCAAGATGCTTGCTTTGTCCTATTATGGACTATCCAGCAGGATATACCCACTCCCTGGCGACTGATGTTGTTCCCACTAACACTCGAGCCAAATATCCATCGCCTCAAACATCAAGGCGATATCCACTAGGCCGCTGAAGCACGACAGCCGCCTCTTCCACAACAGTTATCATTTGTTATTTCATAGTTGTGATCTCCCACCAATAACGACACCACTTACTGGAGTGCTGGTGTATCCAACTATTGAGTACCAAATAGAATGAAATGTATACCCTGGATTTGACTGCTAGTCACGAGGATCAATATAACCTCATGAACGTCCAACACTATCGAGAAATCTGCACAGAAGTCCACTGCCAACAGAGTTCTACCCCTTCAGCCCTGTATACCAACAGAAATTTACAAGTATCGAACAATAACTGATGGTGATTTATTACTTCAACTTCAACGTAAAGTTATCATTATTTTATCGCTGCTTATAGTCACATTATCAGAAACGTTCAAGGTAACATTATATTTCACAGACAACAGTTGTATAACCAACCGTGATTTTATTGGTGGTTGGATGTTTGCAAGATCCATACGAACTGTCTGTGATCCTAGTCAACATCAGTGAGCCCTTGAATCAACAATCATATCACTCGGTTATTTTGGTTATGATCAACTCCTGTTGAACAGGATTAAGTGCGCGAATCGGCTATAAATGAGTAGCCAATATAGCTCACTAGTCTTTATATTTCAGAAATAACTAAAATCCACCGACCAACTTATCAATGTGGAAATTAACATGACATGAAACTATGATGCACTGTAGTCTAGTGTCAGGTCAGTCTTACAGAATATAGTAGATAAGATAACGTAAGGCTATGTTTTAGGTTGCCAACTTCTGTCGGGAAGATATTTTGTCTAGTTATGTAATTCCACAGTTTTCGTCTCTAAAAAGAAACTGACCAAACTGAGCAAAACGACAAAACGAGAAATATGTCAAATTCATGTAATATTTCAAGTTGTTATTCATCGTAGACTGACATCTTTTGAAGGAACAAAGGAAACCTGGGAGCACTGGACAGCTGTTTCATTCTAGTATGGGACCCCTCAGCAGTGGACATCCACGACCCCACCCCACCAGGGTTCGAATCAGCGACCTTCAGGTTCCATGGCCAGCACGTTACCATTGAGCAACTGGGTCGAATTCCAGTGGTCTATATTTCCAACTTTGGTGAGCTCACGATATAACACAACCACCACTTGATATCATTGTTGAGTAACTGTCTTCATGACCATCAGTCTTTGCCCCCACCGGTCACAACTTCTCATTGGAACTTCGGGAATACCTAGTCACCAATGAGCGGTTGCGCTACATCGTGAGCTAACAGAAGTTGGAAATAAGGAGCACTGAATTCTGACCCAGTGGCTCAATGGTAACGTGCTGGCCATGGAACCTGAAAGTGGCGGGTTCGATCGCCGGCGGGGTCGTGGGTGTGTACTGCTGAGGAGTCCCATATTAGGGTGAAACAGCTGTCCAGTGCTCCCAGTTTTCTTTGTTCCTCCAACTGATGTCAGTCTATGATGAACAACAACTTGAAATATTTCTATATCTCTACAATGCCCTCAAAATTCATGTAAGACTATCCAAAAAGTTGTTTTCAATGGTTTACAGATCATCAAATGGTTATATAAAAATATGATCTATAAATCATACAAGTAGTTTAATCCTTTGGATCTTACTTCAAATTCTAAATCACCTTCTACTCCAGTTTCAAAATTATACAATGCAATAACATGAGGTTGACCCATATGAGCAAATTTTTCCAATGATTTCAAGTTATATACACTACCAGATTTTTCATCAATTGACAAGGCTGATGATGAAGATAAACTTGTTGGACTTGACCTTGGGTGGTTCTGATGTTTTGATAAATTGTTCATACTATTTTAATAAAGAATTTAATATAAAGATTTGAATATATTGATAAAGTAATAAAATTAATCCCTATAAGGTGACTTCAAATGGTTTCTCTTAATGCCAGTTAATGATTAAAGCTAAAATGCATATTTAAGTTACGATAGGATTCAAATGACCGCCATCCAGGTTTCTGACCGACTACTTCATCAGCTGAGCCTTAAGTTCTTTGTAGGCTTACTTCTTCGTATTCTGAGAACATTTCCTATCCTCAATATTGATATATATATATATATATATATATATATATATATATATATATATATATATGCAAATTTTTGCTCCAGGACTGGTCTTCAGCGGTACCGCGGTTAACAATAGAGACTGAAGTGGTTGAGTGTGTTGACCACTTCACTTATCTGGAAGTAGGATCAACCCTGGTGGGTTAGTTGCCGATGAGATTTCTGCACGGATACAAAAGGCTCGATTGGCTTTTGCCAATTTGCGCCAACTATGGCGCCTCCGTGATATTCGTTTTTCTATTAAGGGTCGCGTGTACTGCACAGCAGTCCGCTCTGTTCTACTGTATGGCTGTGAAAAATGGCCAGTTGAAAGTGGAGGATACAAAAAGGCTTCAGGTGTTTGACCACCGTTGCCTTCGTAATATAGGACGTATTCCGTGGTGTCACTACATGTAGTAATGCAGAAGTGAGGTGTAGAGTTTTGGGGAGAAGAGGTAAGTCAGTTGACGAGGTTGTGAACCTTCATCGACTGAGATGGTTGGGACACAGTATTACGTATGCCTAGTCACCGATTGCCTCGTCATACAATGTTGGCTGAGGTGGGTCCAGGCTGGAAAAAGGCCCGAGGTGGCCAGAATAAAACATGGCACCAATGTATGAAGTCTCTGACTGTTGGTTTAAGCCATGTAGGACGATGCAGACTAGGTGGTTGGGGTCCGCGGGACAAGAGGAACCAGTGGTTGGAGACCCTAGGTGATCACATGGCTGAGAAGCGATATCAGTGGCGCAGATGTATACACACATTATCCTCATGTTAACAACGCTATACCGAATCTCACTATTTTGTCACTCCTCTTTCCTTTCTTCTCGTACTTTGTATTTCTTTTGACTGCATTCACTTATCTTCATCCTTCACCTCACTACCTTTTTACTTGATGTGCTGATATGAGGTGTGGCAACTCGGACAGTTACGCAGTAATGCCTGGTCCTATGTTGATAGTGATGATATATATATATATATATATATATATATATATATATATATATATATATATATATATATATATATATGAAGAACATTTTACCACAAGGTATTTATTTATAGTAAAGAAGTACTTTTGAAATTGCTTCTTTAGTTTCACAGTTATTTTCATATTCTAAGTCTAAGTCTATTATATGACCAGAAACGTTTGTCATACAATGGCTCTTCCAGCTAATGGAAACTCATTGGTAGTAAACACCTTGGTAAAGAAGTACACCTTGACTTCTGTGCTTTGAACAAATCCTTTATTCTTCAACCTAACAGTCACATCCCATTTTATTCAAGGATGTTCCATAGTTCACCGGGAAAGATGTTTTCGAATGTCTCAAATCGTTGAAGCCTTCATACGGTTCAGATCCGAATGGTAGGTCAAGCTTCATATTCACCGAGTATGATGATACCTTTATACCATCCATTAGCTAACATGTTCAATAGATGTTTTTTTTGAAAAAAACCAAACCAGCTGCCTAGAAAGATATTAAGATAGTCCACGTACATAGGTTAGGGACTCAGGGCGCACGCCAAAAATTCCATTCGATTGTAGTTACCTCTCCGTTCTTGAAAATAATGGAGAAGCTAATAATACTAATGCTCGAACCCTGATTGAAGGCTTTCAGACTCCCTATTCAGTTTGGATATGAAAGCAGAAGAAGCATTCTGAATGCCACCATTTTTCCTACATCACAATATTGCTTGTAATCTTGATAGAAATGCCGGGTATGTCAGGTGTGCCTTTTTAGACTATACTTCAGCATTTGATTCTGTGCCAAGATATTTTCTGCTGGACAGGCTACACGGAACTAACACTGAGTCCTAGTTTGTCAGCTGGCTGCATTCCTATTTCTCTAAAAAGAAACAACATACTGTCCACTGAGGGAAGCGCTCCACTTCATTGCTTACTGTGACCGGTGTTCCTCAAAGAGCCGTCAATTCCCCCACTCTTTCCTCCTTCTTATAGCCTGATTTACCATATTCACCTAGTACCAATCTTAACAAATATACAGATGACCTGACAATTTCCATACCTGTCACTTCTTCAACAGATATTCGCAACTGAATGATTTCCTACCTACTGTTAGACCTTATACTTAATTCTTCAAAATGTTAGATTATAAACTTTAGTTTTAGATGTGAACATAACCTACGTAAACTGTTTGGTTCTCATGATTCCAGTTCTACTGATAGTTTTGCATTGGAGAATGTTACAAGTGTGATTTATCTCGGTGAGTATTTTTCTTTGGACACTTCCTGGTTCTCCCATATTTTACAAATTTCTAAAAGATCCTACTGTCTAACTTTGTGTATTAGGAAGCTAAGAGTATCTGGTATAATTCAGCCTCTTCTTTTGCGTTTCATAAACTCCCACATCTTACCTTGTTCTCCATTGTTCTCCTTTAGTTTTTCCTGGCTTGCTGAAAAGAGGACTATACTATACTATACTACAATCACGGATGTGATCAGTCCTGTTCATGAAAAAAAAAAACTACTTTTGTCTTTCGAAACTATTATATCCTTGTCGCTGCTTGTTGCTTCCTAATAGGGCGGTGATATAACCTGAATTTCGGGTACTTGGACAGTCACACACACAGTCACACAGTTCTTCAGTAGGTGGAATTGACAGTAAGATAGACTTAAGGCATATTCAAACGTTAAAATGCATACAAAATACTTGAGTTTATGTATATTTACGATAACTTTGACTATTTTTAGTCCTTTCTAGACTGGCGTGCCGCATGGATTTTTATGTGTTCAACCCAAATGGTATTTACATGTTGGTTCATGTTCTTCTCTAGAAACTTATGTGCAACATGATTGGTTTTAAACGTCTTTAGAGACTTAGGCTTTATGAAGATCTTGGCAATTTTATTATAAACTACAATGCAAAAAACACAAAGCTAGAAGCAGTTTCATTGTGCACATAAATTTTGGCTGAAGGAAAGAAGATGTATTAACTGAGACTAGAATAAATTCAAGACTAATAAAACGCAATAACGTTAAGTTCACATTACTGGTTAGATATCATTGGTGACTGGCGTAAGTCTACGCTTAAATTTATCAAATAAACCAAACTCTCAGTCATCTTAGTCAGATATGTTATCTCACCATCATCATTTGTCTCTTGGGTTCCTAATGGAACATAAGGATTCAGTAATAAGCCTCTATTCCACTCTATTCTCTGTAGTATTTTCAACCTGGCTCCACAACTGCCCACAACCTCTCATTTCTTCCTCACATCATCTCCTCCATGTCACCCTTGCCTTACATGCCCAACCGTCGTTCCCCATCTGGGTTCCACTCGACGGCCTGGTCTGACAAGTGATGTCTCCGAATGGCCTTCTCAGTTCATGTTCAATTCATCTCCACTTCCTTCCACTGCATACTTGCTGAGGGATAGGTTCTTGGTTGGTCCGTTCCCAGAGTTCCTTTTTGCTCATTCTGATCATTTTGGCCATCTGATCTTCAGTGTCGAGCCAGTGTAGGCAGTTGTTGATGAATGTCTGTAGTTTGATGGAAATGCTTGTGTGACCCACCAAGTCTCTCAACCATCACATAGAAGCACTGACTAACTTGACTGAATTACTGTTGAAAATCCGGATCTTGTCCCACATGCTGAGCGCAGAAGATCTCCACACTGGTTAATGAACGCCTGTCTTGATTTCCGATCCTGGCTGCTTTGACGTCCTCGTCTGTACCGCCTGTAGTTGAAACGATGCTGCCCTGTCTAGATAGGTGAAAGAGGCTACTTCCTTTAAGTTTCTCCCGTTGGTGGTAATTGGAGCTTGTCGTTGTTACTGCTGGTGGTGGTGGCGTTGGTTGGGTATCATCAACACCTCTGTCTTCTCTACTTTCAGCTGGAGGAAGTACCGTCTTCACTGCTCTGCCTCTTCTATCAACTTGTTAGTTTTCACCTGTAGATCTTCAAGTTTGTGTGACCTTAGACACAGGTCACCGGTGAAATCCAAATCTTCTAGGTTCTTTTCCCCAGTCCAGCCAGCGTATCCCCCTCTTCTCGCTCCTCACAGTTGTCTGCTGCATGATCCAATCCAGTCAACCACAATCAGGAATATCATGAATGATAGTAGACAGCCTTGTCTTACTCCTTCCTGTCTTCACTTCAAAGGTATCACTGAGCTTCTCATTGTGAATTACTCATATATGTTATCTAAATACCACAAAGAAGATACGCAGCTAGAATATAACCTCGAGGCTGTAAAGTGCACAAAACAGTACAGTACTTCTTAATTCACAATAAAACCTATTGGCTATGGTTCAGAGGGTTAGTTTTAGCCATTTATTGAAATATTTGCGATACTTTCATTGCTAAATTAAATCTCAAGGGTATATTGAAACCAACAGAGGCCTAATCTTTCACAACTTGAAGTTATCTTCAGGAGTGATCTGTATATTTTTGTTATGAAAGGTATACTATAGCAGAATAAAGCCACAGTACCTAAACTGTGTTCAAACAAAAATGATTGTGTCATCATGACAGTGGGAACTGCACAAAGTTGACTTCAGCAGATTTAACTCATCACACACTGCCTTGAAATACAATAAGAAGAAAGAATCACCTAGTAGTATAAATCAATTTACTACAAGAGTAACTTACACTTGTGGACTGTTATTCATACCCCATGGTACTGGCATACGTCTGTTCTCTGCTGATGCAGCTCGACTAGGCCCAGACAATGGTAAAGGTCTAATTGGTCTAGCTAAGAAATTCTGTAAAAGTTAACAAGTATGAGATGATATAAGAAGTGAAAGTGAAGTAGAGTAGATATATGTTGTTTGACTACTGAAATTATATAGGTGAAGTTCTTATAAAATGCCTGTAATGACATTTTTTTATATATCACCTTAAAAGTTTATTTCATTTTCTTATATTCTCACATCCGACAGATTCAATCAATTGAAGCGTCTAGCTTTCAGAAATTAATCAGAAATAACGAAAGCATCTGTCGATATCATGGCTAATATGACTGACAGCTTTCATTCCCTTTTCCATCATGGTTGAACAAAGTATTTTTTTTTGTACTGGCATGGATATCTGCATTCCATAATGTCATGGATAGTATTCGATGCTGAACCTAAGTTCTTAGAAAAGCAATCCTATAGCTATCGATTTGACCATAAAACTTCTGAAGTACTACATTATACCGATTAGTTATTTATTGACTTAAAAGTAGTTTTCATCACTGACGAGAGTGGTACAAGAATCATTGAAAATCTTGGAGTACTGGAGAGGCACTTCACTCTAGTATGACAGCTATGAGTAGTGTTTACCCAATGTTCCAATAAGGTACTGAATAAAAGACCACCAGGTATCACTTCTAAGGAATCCTGAACCAATAAGATACACCTGTCGAATCAACTTACACTTTCAATCATTCTTCAAATCATACCAAATGTCTATGAAAGTTACCTACAACTTGGAAGGTCGTTACAAAATCCTAAGTAAATCACTCGTTGGTTACTAGTTTTTATGTGAATCTAATAACTTGGAGTTTTAACATATACTATGTAATCGACATTCAGAAGTGACTTTACAAGAAAAGAAATATTTTGAAACGCTTGTCACAAAATTCACGGAATACACTTGTAAGAAAATGAAAATAGGAAAAATTGATTATTTCACATAAAATAATGCAGAGCCAATGCTTGAATAGTTGTTTCAAGGAAATTTTAATCAATAACTGACTGACTGACGACTGACTGACAAAATCAGCGTAGAACGCCGCACACAGGTGCATCATTTCAAGTTGCTACAAAAAGAATAGTTGGATATTATTATTATTATTTGTCCCTTGGGTTTCTGGTAGAACATAGGGATTCATTAGCAAGTCGCCATCCCACCCTCTTCTCTGCAGCCTTTTCAACCTCACTCCATGACTGCCCACAACCTCTCATTCCATCCTCACATCGTCTCCTCCATGTCATCCTCGCCTTCGATGCCCAACCCGTCGTTTCCCATCTGGGTTCCACTCAAGGGACTAGTCTGACGAATGATATCCCCAATCGGCCTTCTCAGTGCATGTCCAATCCATCTCCACTTCCTTCCACTGCATACTTGCTGAGGGATAGGTTCTTGATTGGTTCGTTATCAGCCAGCCAGGCAGCCAGGCAGTCACAGTTTCTTGTTGCTTATTCTTTCTGGCCATCTGATCTTCAGTGTCGAGCCGGCGTAAGCATTTGTTGATGAATGTATGTAGTTTATTGGAAATGCTATTCTTGGTGCGCCAAGACTCTCAACCATCACATGGAAGCACTGACTTACTTGACTGAATTGGTGTTGAGAATCCGGATGTTGTTCACGCTTTATGCTGAGTGGAGTGGAGTGCAGTAGATCTCTACACTGGTTTCAGGTTGATGAAGGCCTGTCCTGCTGTCTTTCCGATCCTGACTCTGACGTCCTCGTCTGTGCCGCTTGTAGTTGAAACGGTGATGCCTAGATAAGTGAAAGAGCCTACTTCCGTTGATGGTGACTGGAGCTTGTTGTTGTTGGTGTTTTTGGGGTATCTTCATCACCTGTCTTCTCTACGTTCACCTGAAGTCCGGTCTTCGGTGTCCTGCGTCGCCTCATCTGTCAGCTTGTTAAATTTTGCCTGTAGATCTTCAAGTTTGTTTGACATTAGACATGAAGTATCGTCAGTGAAATCCAAATCTTCTGGATCTTTTTTCCAACCCAGCTTATCTCCCTTTTCTCGCTCACCACAGTTTGCTGCATGATCCAGTCCACCACAATCACGAAGATCATGGGTGACATTGACAGCCCTGCATTACTCCTATCTTCACTTCAATGAGCTTCCCATTGTGAATTACTTGGCATATGGTGTCATCATATAGTTGTTGAATGAGGTTGATAAGGGTTTGTGTCACTCAAAGCCGTTGTGTTAAAGCAGCTGCCTGCCAAATTACTTCTCGGTCGACACTAACGAACGCCTTTTCAAAGTCGATGAAGTTGAGGTAGTGAATTGACTGCCATTATATACTCTCTTCCATGATCATGCCTACCGTAGCGTAGCGCCGTAGTTTGATTCCCACATGACTTGTTCTTCCTGAATTCAGCCAGCCTGTTCCGGTTATAATTTCGAATGCAACGCATCCTTTACTCTCTCCAAGATGATGCGGTTTAATATTTTGCTCACTCTGGGTGGACGACAACATGATTCCATGCCAGATTTTGCGAAGACTTACGTCAGCCTTGTTTGTAAGTTTGACAAGGTAGCTGTTCTTCCCGTTTGCAGGTAGCCTTCCTTCCTTCCTTCCAATTTTTCAACAATGGTGGAGTGATGTGAGCCTGTCCGTTGTTGTCTGTGTGTTTCCAGTGCTTCTGGTTGGATTCCATCTGGTCCTGCTGTTTTCCCACATTTCAGTAGCTTTATGGTGTTCAGGATAGAAAAGTAGTAATATCATAGTAGATGCAACACAATAAACGATCTTAAGATAAATGTTAGTGCGGTTATTCAAGCTTCAGAAGACGCCAGAGAGTGAATATATCTGCGCCACTGTCACAGATTTTGAGGCATGTCACTAAGAGTCTTTAACCGCTGGTCCTTATCGCCTTGAGGACCCCAGCCAACCAGCTAGTCTATATCTTCTCACACAGCTCAAACCAGCAGTCAGTGAATTCATCGAATGATGTCAGGTCTTGATCTCTCCTCTTGCAACTTAATCCAACCTTCCCTATCATGCCACGTCAGGTAGGCGGTGGCTCGATATATCCGGGACATGTCAAAACCACATCAGCCAATTAAGGTTCACGAACTCATCAATCGACTTGCCTGTCTTGCGTAGTACCCTTCGCCTGACTGCAACATCGTTCAAACGATGATTCTAACACATGCGAGCAGTATTATGAAGACGTTTTTGATCAAAACCCAATAATCGCCTCATATCCTCTCCTTTAACGGCCATGTATCACAGTCGTATAACAAGATAGAACGGACTAGAATGCAGTATGCTCGTCTTTGGCGCCACAGGTGACGCAAGTTGGCAAATGCCAAATATGCCTTCTGTATCCGAGCTGAGATTTCGTCAGCAACCAACTCACTTCGGGTTGATGCAGTAATTAAAGTGGTCAACACACTTCACCACTTAACTTTCTAACATTAAACTGGGAGTAACTCTAGACCATTACTAGAGTATAATCTTACATTCAACAGATTAGAAACAATAGCCTTGAAAGCGTTTTATGACAAGGATTTTAGTTATTTAAAGTATTAGAGGTTGCTTCTCATGCAGTCAAGAATAAGCAGCAAATAAGAATGACTTCTCTACATCTAACATATGGCTAGGTGCCACCATGTGTCTCAGTTCTTTGTTCATTTATACGTCAACTAGTATTCTAACTGAGTACTTTTGGCTAGATCAAGTACGAACTTTACACAGTGGGTACGAGATGACAGATCAATGCATCCGATACTGAATCCTATACTGGTACATGAGAAAATGTGTGCCTATGTTATAATGGATTAGCCTTTATGTACTAATGTATAAGACAAAATGAATGAGGGTGTCTGGTTTCTGCTCACATACTTCTGTGATTGACTGCAAAATGCCTCTGAGGCACCATGTTTCCATTATTACATCGTCTTCCACAATAGATTTATCTCCAGCGTTTGTATGTTTGTTTCTATATGCTGCGCTTTTGCATATATTAGAGTAGTCTTGTGGGAAGATGTGCGTTTAGTTATCTTTGTGACATAAAACTCGATAATCATGAAGTGTGTATTCTTTACCAACCGTGCACTATGTCTTCATTGTAGTCTGTCACTGACTATGTTCAAGAACCTCTGAGTGTGAAAAGATTCAGGATCTCATCTGAGAGTCATCTCTCTTCTTCATATCGGTGAGATTCTCTCGTAATCTTTGAAACTTACAAAAGGGCTCAACTGTTTAATGGGAAAGAATCTTAATTCATGTTGGCAGGCTTGGACAGAAACTGATAATGTTGAAGAATAATCAATACTTTGAAATAAGTATAGTTCTCATTTTTCATGTCATAGCGTGTAAATACTCGTCGTTGTTTGAACTGAATCCATCTGCCACTATTGGAATACGGACTCCTGTGTAGATGTCTCGAAGCTGTCGGTATTTTCGGTTTTGACATTAGTCATAAAAGGTGGCTAATAGTGGGGTTCAGCATCAGCGTTTCGTTCTGTTTGTGACTCATCAACTGGATATACCTGTCTTCCAAAGATTAATGTTGACCCTGAGAGGACTCAAAGCCACGATCAATCGCTATGAACACCAGATAGTTTCCATCAGGCTATTAAGTCACATCTCCAAACTAATGAAAATCATGCTTTAGGAATAAATTTCAAATATCTACGCACTTTAACTAGGTTTATCACATACAGAATAACTATCAACACTTACTGGTCCACGTTGTTCACTAGTAGATCGTTCACTGACCATCTTGGGATAATTTGAATTTGTAATCTAAACAACAAGTAAAGCAGAAATAAACGTTCTTTTAAAACTACCAACCTCTCTAGGAAACAAACTCCAGTAAGATTAAAATAACATTATCATTTTTACTATCTGAGATAGCCATGGTTTTGTAGACTAGTGCTGATACTTTGTGATGAGTGAAGGTGAAGTGAAGATTTGAACCATGGTCGGATTCAAACCAGTCACTACCAGGTTTCCAGAAACTTAGTACTCATTTGTTCGAATCTGACCATGGCCGAAATTTTTATTTCACCTTTAATCATCACTGATGAAAACGTTGAAAAATGTAAAGGACCAGACGAATGACAACGATTTCCGTATAAGTACATATCATAAGTTCTCAGGATGTTGAATATTATTCAAATGATGAAAGCTGAATCCTTGGCAGTGATCATTTTCAGCTTCATATTCTTAATTCTTCGAAGCGCAAAAACATGAGATATGCACTTAACCAAGCTGAGTTCTATGGATGGGTAGCTACAGCCTCCGCTGTGTTAAGAAGTTAAATGGGAAGAAAAAGAGAGATTTTAGTGGATCTAATTAAAGTTTTAAAGTCATTGTCTGGGTTTGTTAAGTGATGGAAACCTAGCAAACGTTCTAGAAAGGAACTACTAACAGACTTCCTTTCACTTTAGAAACGCCAAGTTAGAAGATGCCGTCATAGACGTGTACAAGGGAATTTTTCGGCTTCGGCCTTTGCAGGTTGCTCCACCAGGGAAGACGAACTGGTAGATGCAGGCAGAAGCGGCCAGGCGAAGGATCTTATCTTTCATACAAATGGAGAAAAGTTTAGAGCTGGTAAAAGTTTGTTGAAGCTTTGTTGTGAAGAACATTCTATTGATTGAATTACAAAGATGATTCTTGAGTACATCTGATGCTTAGTCACCCTTAAACTTTAGGTTTATTGATAACGTTTCCTCTGAAACAAAATGACTGGCCCCTTTGTCATTCCTTTCTTCTATATTTCTTATCAATAAGATAACAGGGATAACCGTTATCTATGATTGTGGTTTTTAAAAACAGCAACTCTGTATCAATAGAACCTTCACCACGGATGTTTCTTATTCGATAGGGCAGAAAGCCCAAAAGATTCGTTTTCTTAGCGACAGCAACCCAACTATGAAAGCTAATTAGTTGTCCATTCTGTTATGCCTTTCTGTAGATGGATCTTTTAAAAAATCCATTGTTACTTCTGATAAAAAAAAAGAATGGTTAGTTCTGATTATTTCTATAAAGTAAACTTCAGGGTTGAATGACAACTGCTGAATGAAAGAAGAAGGTCGTCTAGATCAAACATCTTTATTATACATCACAAACTTATCGTCCATATCATCTTTTACAAAGTTCAAAGGCAATAATAATTTAATTAAGTATTCTCTAGTTTCTACATGAGAAAATCTGCTAAAGGTTGTCCCAATGATGATTCCATCATAATTCCATCTAACCGTTTACAGATTTTATTATTGTAGAAATTACTCAAAATTTTCAGTGATATCGAATATTTAAGTAAAAAGTAAATCGTGAAAACGAAGTCATTGTAAAAATGCAATGAACTACTTCATAACCGAATATATTACTTATGAAAATCATATAACTCATGAGAACCTTTTGATAAAACAAGAAAATAATAGGATATCATCTAGGAAGTTCATTTTTATTGCCACAATGGATTTACATCAGCTTACATGTTAATTCTTTAGCATAATTCTCACTGTTGAACAACTTTGTGATTATTCTATAATTTTTTTTCTTAATGAAGGTACTATAGGTACTTGAAGTTTGTCTATTGAAGTTGACATACGTATTTGCAGATATATTTAGAAGCGACTTTATTTCTATGCCACTGAAGACTATATATAGGATGATTTGTGAATTAAGCTTCTCTGTATGAAAGTCATATGAGACTTTTGATTCATTTTCGAACAGGAAAACCATATACTTCATCACTTCAATGTCTTTATTGTGGGTAGTAAGATGCTTATAGAAAAATGGACACATTTGGATTCACTCATACTAGCTAAGAACTAATCCGCATCAAACTTTCCTTTTTTATTATTTTTTATTAGTCCCTTGGGTTCCTAGTGGAACATAGGGCTTCAGTAGCACGCCTCCAGTGACCTCTGTTCTCCAAGATCTTTTGAACCTGGTCCCACGACAGCCCAGAAGCTCTCATTTCCTCCTCGCACGATCTCCTCCATATCACCCTCGTCTCGGACGTCCAACTCGTCGCTTCCCATGGGGATTCCACTCGAGGGACTGGCCTGACGCGTGATGTCCCCAGTCGGCCTTCTCAGTGCATGGCCAATCCATCTCCACTTCTTCCTGCATATTTGTTGCGTGATAGGTTCTTGATTGGTTCGTTCCTAGAGTTCAAACTTTGCTTACATCATATATATCCATGTTAAACTTTAATCAGACGATACAGTTGCTATAAAGAGTTAAGCTACATGTTACAGAGACATCACATTCATATATTTAATAGGTGATGACCTAACAGTTTCCAGTTTCCCACGAATATGTGGGAATCTTTATGAAATAAAGTTTTTTCTCTTCTGTAAAACATCACTGAATATGTTTAGTAAAAACAACAACATAGGCCTAAAAATGCATGCGAACATCATGAAAAATATTCAGAGCACAATTTTAGCTTTCTACGGTTACAAAATGTATCAGTACTTTAGTAGACGCTCTTCTGTTCTTGTTTAAAAAGTCAACGATCAACTTTGTCATGTGAATAATTCTAATGACTTGGTGTTCAAAGCAATTCTTAGTTGGAACTCGTTATTTTATTAGTCTGAACATCATACTCACAGGCAGTAAGGAAGAAAGTTTACCGTTATCCTCAAAGGTGATTAAAAGTTTAAGTGAATAAACGTTATTCAGACGTACCAAACAGTAAATATGGTGGGGATTTAAAGATGTAGCTATGTGAAAAACCTCAGTACTGCCTGGTCTCATAACATATCGACATAAGTTTTCTAGCTAAAATACAGAAATTTCGTTAGTAATTGGTGATTCTTCCTGCAATTAATATTATCATCATTATTTGTCCCTTGGGTTCCTAGTCTCCATCCGACTCTCTTCTCTGCAGTCTTTTCAACCTCACTCCACCACTGCCCACAACCTCTCATTTCCTCCTCACATCATCTCCTCCATAACACCCTCGCCTCCCATGCCCAACCCGTCATTTCCCATCTGGGTTCCACTCGAGGGACTAGTCTGACGAATGATATCCCCAATCAGCCTTCTCAGTGCATGTCCAACCCATCTCCACTTCTTTGCACTGCATACTTGTTGAGGGATAGGTTCTTGATTGGTTCGTTGTCAGCCAGACAGCCAGCCAGTCACAGTTCCTTGTTCCTTGTTCATTCTTATTATTCTTGTCATCCGGTCAATCTTCATTGTTAGTATCGAGTGAGTGTAGGTGGCAGCTGTTGATGTGATGTATGTCTGTAGTTTGTTAGAAATGCTTTTCGTAACGCGTCAAGTCTCTCAACCATCGCATGTGAGCACTGACTTACTTGACTGAATTAGTGTTGAGAATCCGGATATTGTTCACGCTTTATGCTGAGTGGATTGGAGTGAAGTAGATCTCCACAATGATTGCTTCAGATTAATGAAGACCTGTCTTGCTGTCTTTCCATCTCTGTCTTTGGTATCATCATCTGTGCTGCAGCCCCTTGTGGTTGAAACGATGCTGTCTAGGTAGGTGAAAGAGACAACGTGCTTTAGATTTCTCCTATTGATGGTGATTGGTGCCTCTTGTTATCGATGCTGTTGTTGGTTGATTATCTTCATCATGTCTATCTTCTCTACATTTACCTAAAGGGAGTCCCGTCTCCGCTGCCCTAGCTCTTCTGCCATCTTACTGTGTGACATTAGACAAGAGATTTTTATCCTACACAAAAAAAACCTACTGCCTAATTACCATCGCATCATTAAAAGCTTGAACAAAATACTCTGTGTTATAAATCTATTGCTGGCATTCTTCTTCAGAAATTATTTTATCTTGATTTTAAGAGGTTTTTAAGAGAGTTAAAATATATCCTCCAGTCATGCAACACAGCATACACCTTAAAACTCTGCTTCTTTTTTTTGCTTTAAGTATGTGTAAAGTATGAAAAACAGATCAAATAAATATTTATTTGTGTTAATGATCTGACAAGAACGATTTCAGGTGTAAAGTGAATGTTTGCAAGATATTAATAGTGAATAAATAATAAGTTGGACTGATTAGGAGGGGCTCTTAGAAACGGTTTTCACACTTAAATTCTTGAAACTACCAACAGTTAGACGAAAAGAAAATTTCTTTAATTTAAATGATCAAATTAACAAACAAAATATAAGTTATTTTCTTATCATTACAACTGAGTGTCTCATGCAAAGACTTGGTACGTTACAAAAAGCATTTCTAACAAACTACAGACATTCATCAATAACTGCCTAGGCTGGCTAGTTACTAAAGCTCAGAAGGCCAAAAACAATAGACAACAAGGAACTCACTCTAGCAACGAACCAACCAAAAACTAATCACTTAAAAATATGCAGAAGGAAGTGCAGATGGATTGGGCATACAATGAGAAGACCATTCGCAGACATCACCCACCCGGCCAGGCCTACGAGTGGAATCCAGAGTAGAGACGACGAGTGTGGCGTCCGAGGCAAGGGTGACATGGAAGAGGTGGTGTGAGGAAGAAATGAGAGCTTGTGGGCAGTTGTGAAGTGAGGTTGAAAAGACTGCAGAGAACAGAGTGGAATGGAGACCTACTACTGAACCCCTAATAATATATATGTATATTTGATGAGAACTATACTCATTTCGTATCTCATTGGGGGAAAAATCACACCGAGAATTAGGTACATGCAAGTGATGAATCACAAATAGGACGAAACGTGTCGTCTGGATTCCGTTGTTAACCATGTATTCATTATTAACACTAGTTTTTTTTAAAAACACCGGCAATATCAATCCAACCACACAGGAGCCT